TCAATGCATACATGGCAGCAATAATAGCATCATAGTCAAGAGCAAAGACATCAACACCAGCCCTCATGAGCTCAGCCCAGCGGGGGCGCTCAACATCCGCACCCATCTCCTCACGCCAAGCGTCGTCAAGGCGGGAGAAGCAGCGGTACGGGGTGTGGAACCTCCCACACGTCTGTCCCTTGCGGTCACCTGTGCGAATGACATAAGAACAGCGGGCACTGGCCCCCGACGTCCCACGCTGAGCAAGCCACTCACGAAGCTGCTGGGTCGTCTGGGGACGCTGCTGCTGCTGGGAGCTCTGGCCAGAGCCAGTGCCTCCACTCCGACCTCCGCCGCCACCACTACCACCGCTCCGACCGCCACCGCCACCACCGCCACCGCCGCCACCGCCGCCGCCGCCACTACTGCCACTGCTCCCTCCGCCGCCCCCGTCTCCACCACCGACCCCACTCCCACCAGCGCTCCCGCCACCGCTCCCTCCAGCACCGCCTCCCCCCCCACCTCCCCCACCTCCTCCCCCCCCAGCGCCACCACCACCACCCTTGCCCCCCTTGCCCTTGCCGGTGCGGCGCCTCCCACCAGGAGTAGAAGCAGCGCCAACAGACTCAGCACCAAGGAAGTCAACAGCAGCAGCAGCAGCGTAGGAGGGAGCGAGGGGAGAGGGAGAACACCCCTCAAAGATGGGGGTGCGAGGAGCGCCACGAGCAGCACCGACAGCTACAATGCTCTTTTCGGCCGCGAGCAGGTGCTCCTCTAGGAGGGCGACTGTGAGCTCAGTGGGACAGCGAGCAAGGAAGTGGTCTCGAACTGAGCGGAGGGTGTCAGGGAGACGGGTGACTATGAAGTGGAGTGTCCAGTACAGTGGAGGGGGGTTCTTAGCGCAGAACTCGGTGGGAAGGGCGGCACGCAGGCGAGCATCACTAGTGCGAAGGTGGGTGATGAGATCGGCGACTGTAGTAAAGGTGGACAGATCGGGGAACAGGTACGGCAGCATGAGGCGGCTAAGCTCGGCTGTGGCAGGCGAGGAGTAGCGAGCGACGACAGCGTCGTACAGGGCCTTAGCGGATTTGCAGTCGCCAAAATGCTCTAGCTCAGCTAACGGCAGGTGACTGCGAATGGCTAGGCGAGCAGCTGCGTCACGAGTCTGCCAGTGGGAACGAACACTAAGCTCAGCTGTGGCAGGAGGGGCAGGCGCAGCACCAGACGCGTAATCATAGAGCGACACATGCTCCTTGCTATCGCTCAGGAGGAACAGCTGCAGATCATCTCGCCACCAGTCCATAGCGGGGCCCCTCAGCAGCGAAACGGCGTATCGGATCTTCGCTGCGTCCGACTCGACGTAATTCGCGTCGAAGAAGACGTTCATCGTGAAGATCCACGATTGAACCGTCGGACCCCCACGCTGGCTCGGGTCGAAACAGGGCGGACGCTGCGGCTTGAGTGGCATTGGCGCCATGATTGCCTGATCGGCGCTTGTTGCCGCAAATTCCACGTGCAGACGGGTTTCGCGAGGCTCCTGAGAGCTTGGCGCGGCCCGGTTTCTCCCCATGCCAGGCATTGGTTGGGCGGCGCTATCACTGGCTGCTCCTGAGCGCTGTCCCACGCTGTCGTGCTGTGTTGGTGTGCCAGACGAAATGACGATTGGCTCCTCCGACGATGCAGGTACATTTTGCGGTGCTGGGTTGCTCGCCGTGACTTGCTGACGCGCGGAGTCGCGTTCCGCCGTGAGCGTCGCGATTTTGAAGCGCCGATTCTTCAACTTGGCGCACCAGGCGGTCGAGCTGCTCCTGCGTCAGAGTCGCGAGATTGAATTCGGCCATGGCGGGGGTGTCGGGCGAGCTCAGCGAGAGCCTCTGTCGTGGCCGTGCGTGCTTACGAGAGAGCACTACGAGCGGCGGTGCTGTGTCGCTGAGAGACGTCTACCCCCCCAAAAAATTGAGATAGTGGGGAAGCGAAGGTGTGGGTGCGGTCCGAGAAGAGATCGTAGGCTCTGAATACCAAGTGTTACGAGTGCAATTGAGGGAGCGAACGAAGATTGCACTATCGAAGCAAGAGTACAATGAGCGAAGGCATGAGCGAAGGATTATATAGCGAAACTACAGTGGTAACGGTAATGTGTGAAAATGGGGTGCGCGACGGGCCTAGCGCCGTGGTTGGGAATTGTCGAGGCGAAGGTCCGGAGCGCGGGTTACCAACCGAGCCGTGAGGTTGGGTCGCGTCGTGAACAGTGGCGGGAACAGTACCGAGGCGAGTGTCGCGAGTGGTAACGGATTACTGTTGGGTGCTGTTGGCGGGAACAGTGCTGTACGCGCTGAGCAGGGACGCGAAGTAAGGAAAAGGAATTTTCCTTACAATCTACATTGATGTACCTTATCTGCTTATCCGCTATAATATCAGGATGCATGATAGGGTTCCTGAAAGATATCCTTTCTTACTGATCGGGAGCGCCTGTTAGTGCTTTTTTTTGCAACACTGGTTATTTCAATACTCATCATACCTGAGTTTGGCTACAAAGTCAAAGCTCGCCTATAATGGTCCATATGATCTCATAAATATTGCTGTTTGTGATTTGTAATCACCTATTATTTTGTGAAGTGTGTTACAGCCGTAGACAGCAAACAGCGCAACACAATTCGGCAAGTTTGGGGACCAACCAACCTTTTCCCGAACCTAACGACATTCCTTCGTGCCGCCCGCCAATCGCCGAGAGGGACCACACCTTAAACAGTGCATTGCATCATTCTCGCCGCCGCAGCAGCACTTTTCCATCACTCAAGGGTGCTTATCAGCTGTCGGCAACTGGCTTATCTTCCGCAAACGTTCTCATCTCATCTGGTGGGGGGGGGGGGGGAGGGGGGGGGGGGGGGCGGGGAAGGCGGGGGGGGGGGCATCATTTGGTTGGGAGTTCTGCGCTCCATTTTCTCCCCTCGCCTAGATTTCTGCGGACCCCGAAACTCCGAATCCCGTCCCGTCACACGATCCCGTCCCGAGCCTATCCGAGCCACGCACACACATCTGGTTCAGCAGAACCATTGGTCTGGTCTGGAGCCAAAGCCCCGCTTCCGGTTTCACCAAACCACACGTCGCTCACCTCCCTAACATGACACAACCGAGCCAGATCGTGCTGTCCTGACAAGCCATGATCCCGAACCTGCAAGTATCGAATCTCGTCGCTTCCGCACTCACCCGCCCGCCTTTCTCTTCCTTGCGGTGAACTTGTCTGTAGTGTACACCAGCCAAACCACCTGTAGGGTTCCCCGATGTGCGGCCCCCCGAACCAAAATGCCCACTTCCGCTTCCCCGACTTGCATTCCCCCCCCCACCCCCCCCAACCCCTCTGTCCAATTCGGTTCGGGGCACAGATTTTGCTCTCCCCCCACTGTCTGCCGCCAAACAGCCATTTTCCGCGCATGATACTGTAGACGGGTTGTCTTCTTGAGGGCCAGGCGGAACTTTCTCTTGCCCTTGCCCGCACGCATGCTCGTTCTTCCCCGCCATTCGCAAGCATCTTTCAACCCCACGCACGTGCGGCACATCAAGCGACACTTGGTTCTTTCCCCATTTTCCCCGGATCCATCCATCACCACCATCCCAAACTCCGAAAGGTGCGCGCATATCCCCCCTGTTCTACAGTATTCCTTCCCCCCAGCTGCCCCATGAACCGCTCGTTCGGCTGGCGGCGGGCCATTCCTCACATCTAGATCGATCCGTACAGTGCAGCCAAACATTACCTATCAGGTACGTTAGCAGGAATACGCTATCACGCTTACTCGGCAACAAGCAGCAAGCTGTAATCACTTGTCGCTCAACTTGCTGTTCCGGACTAGCCATTTTAGAAACAAGCTCTTTACACTACAGTGCCTCAGCCTGCGTTCCTGGTAGCTGTGGTCAGTAAATTTGATCGTCTCGAGTGCTCGGCCTTTTTTTCCCGTAATTCACCTCGGAACGTTTCGAGTGATAGGCTTCGGTAGAAGCGCAACTGTTCTGTCGGATAAATTCTTGCCATCATTCAAATTACAGTCGCGTGCCACGTGGTATACTATACCATGTTGCGGGAAGTTCTTCGTGATGCACTTCTCTTCTTCCTCTCTCCCGTTTCTGGCGGGTTCTCCATCAAATGCTGCCCGTCGCCCGAGAAACTACGCTCCATAACACCCAAATCCCGACAACCCACATCCTTAACGGATCAGAGTGGGTCAGGCCAGATGGGCCCGGCGTCACTGTCGCCGCCAAGATCGCGCATTTCGCCAGCGACGCCGCGGTTTGCGGGGTTCCGTTCGACCCCCTTTTTTGTTTCCAGAGCGGCGGCTCGGCGCGCGTTTCTGTCTCTGCTGCTGCTGCTCGTGGCGACGGCAGTCCTCCGGTCCTTCTGTTTCACGTGGCGCTGCACTCACGACAGCAGAACGAGTCGCTCCTCCGCATTCGGCGGCGGCGGCGGCGACGAAGCAATTCTGGAGCTGAGCGACAGTACTGCGACGGGCGAGCGTCCAGGGGTCGTTCTGCGACGAAATTCACGTTTGTGGAACATCCTCACGTATTCACACGAGCCGTCGGATTGTAAAGCGTCGCACGGCTGCGCTGGCGCAGAATTGGACTCCGCCGCGGAGTCAGCGGCGGCGGTGGTGACGCCGTCAGCGGCGACGGCGGAGTCAGCGACTCCCCATATGTCGCGTAGCCACCCGCGTCTCTTCGTCCCACGCCCTGTGGCAACTACTGCTCCTTCGTCTGCGAGTAGTCCCCTCACTCTTCCTGCTAGTACCGTCACCATACCTCTCCCTGCCCCTCGGGAGCATCGCGCTGCGGCGTCAGCAACAGCAACGGCGGTCGGCGCAGAGGCACATCTGGTGCCGCCGCGGCCGCAGTCACGGCGGTCGTCACGTTGGGCGGCAGCGGGGGGTGCAGCCTCCGACCGACTTTCCAGCGCTGTTGCTGGAGCGACGGGAGAACTGCGGAGGCTCCTCGGCGGCGGCGGTGACGGCGGAGGGAGCACCCGCACGTGGATGGCGTCACGACTCCGAGCCGCCGGAGTGAACCTCAAGAGCCAATGGTCTGCGATGGTCGGTGGCGGAGGTGGAGGGGGAGGTCGACCTGGTGATGGTGCGTCGTGGCGACGGCAGGCGATACTAATTGACGGCAACGACGCCGCGTCGGCCGCGCTGGTGGCTCCTACTTCCCGGCCCGCGAATGCCGCGACGATCGACAGCAGCACTACGACGAGACGGTATCATGCGGAGGACTTGGGAGAAGGCGCGGAGCAGAACGGCGATGGACAACGCGGCGCGTGGAGATCGTTGGACGTCTCGTCGCTGCCGCTCGATACTGCGTCGCACGATACGTCGCACGAATCATCGCACGACTCCGAGTCATCGCGCGATGCGTCGTTTGACGACGTGTGGGACGCGGAGGCGGACCCCATGGTGCGCGCGCGGATAGTCCCCGGGGACGAGCTGGACGCGGCGCTTGCGCGCATGGACACGCGGCGTCCCGTGATGGTGACTTTAGCGAACGACGCGTTCCACGCGATGCTGCTCAACTGGTGGTTCCACGTGTCGGACACCGCGAGCATCCCGAACGTGCTCGCCGGCGCGCTCGACCGAAGCACCGCCGAGGTAATCATTCATTTCACAACTATTATTACTAATATAGTTTCAACCGCAACGCTCTCGTGTGAGCGGTAGACCGACGCTCGACGGAAGTAACTGTATGCATGCTGACGTGTCGGATTCTACTGCCAGTGGTACTACTAGCGGTTTACTACAGTGGAAGTGCGACGGCTTGTGCTGCGCGCGTGCTTTCTTCCCCCAAGGGTTTCAAGGATGACCTATTTTCGAACCAACAAAATGTTCATAGGGGGGAAAACCTTGAGATTGTCCCTGCGCGGATTCCGGCCCTCCCAACTTCCAGTTCTCCCATTTTTTCAACTCTAGCGGTCATCTCATTTCTCTAGCTTCCTTACGCGAAGCCGCCGCGCTCATCGTTTTTAGCAGCCTCGCCGTCGCTTTACTTCTGCAGTCTCCGTCGCAGTCTCCGGCACTGCTGTCTGTATAGGTCCTTCGACACAGGTCCTTCGATTCCAGTCCCTCACCGCAGTGCGTATACGCTCACCGCTCAGCTTGGGAACCAATTTCTTAGGAAGATTTTTTTTCGCTGCTTCGTTTCAGGCAGTACCAAGTTCCCACGCGTTTATCTGTTCTAGTGCGCATTGCGCGTTCTCGTAAAGATAGATGTCAGCTTTATCTGATCTCGCGATGATGAGGCGATTGCTATCATAGGATATCACTCTTCCTTCCGTGACATGCGCGCCCGCCCTCATTCAAGCTCCCCTCATCCCCCATTCCCCTAAAACCATTCTAGCTTCCCCACCTTCCGTTCTCCTCATCCCTGCTTAATCTCCGCCATTCCCTCCTCACCCCTCATCCTTTTCCCTTTCCCCGTCTCCTCTCCCCTTTCTCTTTCTCCTTACTCCCCCTCTTCCCCCTTCCCCTTTTCCCTCTCTCCCCCATCTCCACCCTCCGTCCCCCCGGGCACCAGCTATGCAGGCAGCGCGGCATCCCCCACGTGCGCCTGCGCACAGGCCTGCCATCGGACGACTTCCGCGCGGACGCGGGCACGTTTCAGCGCATGGGCGTGTGCAAGACGGCGCTGCTCGCAGCCCTTCTGGAGCGCGCGCGCGACGTGGTGCTGTCGGACACGGACGTGGTGTGGCTGCGCGACCCATATAACGAGCTCTACCTGGGAAGCATGCGCCATGCGGACGTTATGGTGTCGTCTGATTCCCTCTCCCATGCCAATGACGAGGCCAGGTAAGGCTGCGTCTGTGGGGGGTCTGTCAGGGGGCTGTGGGGTGGGGAGGGTAGTGGGATGGGGAGCGGTGGGAGCAGGAGGTGGGGCACCGCGGTGGTGCTGTCGGACGCGGACGTGGTGTGGCTGCGCGACCTCTACATCGACCTCTACCTGGGGAACATGCGCCACGCTGATGTCATGGTCTCGTACGACTTGCTCTCCCATGCTAATGATGAGGCCAGGTGAGCTGCGCGCATGAGGGGGCTGTGGGGGGACTCTGGGGCGGGAAGTGGTGGGGAGGGGAGTGGTGGGGTGGGGAGTGGTGGGGTGGGAAGCGGTGGGTTATATGGGTGCGCGATGGGTGGTGGCATGTGGGTTGCGTGCGGGGATTTGTAGCTTTGGGCTCCTTGCTTCCCGCTCCCTGCTCTCCCCTCCCCGCTCCTCGCTCGGCTTCATTCTCCTGTCTTCCTGCGCTCTGCTTCTTGCTTACTGTTCCCTGCTACTGCACCCGACCCATCACACCCCCTCTTTCCCCCCTTCTTCCCCTTACTCCCATTTGTCCCTCATATCCCCTTTCCCCCCTTCTCATTTTTCCGCCCTTCCCCCCCTCTCCCCTGCCCCATTCGCCCCTTTCCCCCTGCCCGATTCCTCCATTTCCCCCTGCCCCATCCCCCCCTTCCCTTCTGCCCCATTTCCCCCTGCCCCATCCCCCCCTTCCCTTCTGCCCCATTCCCCCCTGCACCATTCCCCCCTTCCCCCACCCGCCAGCCTGTATGCAGACCCACTGACCAACACGGGCGAGGAGGGCGCGTGGTACCGGGGGGCGACAGCGCGGGGCAGGGAGGTGTTTGGGAACGCGTACGAGCACGCGTTCAACACGGGCGTGCTGCTGCTGCGAGCGCGCCCGCATACGCTGCACTTCGCCCTCGCCTGGCACCACGCCATGAGGTCTGCCCACCCTTGCACCCACTGTCACTAGTCACAAACCCATACCGGGCACATCAGGCACATCAGGCACATCAGGCACGTCAGGCACATCAGGCACATCAGGCACGTCTGTCACTAATAAAAAACCCAAGTGCCCAAGTGTCTCTTCATCATCTCCAGTGTCGGACACTTGGGTCGTAATGCCCACCTGCTCTTGCAAGCGCAACCATGTGCTACCACTCCCACCTTTCCTCACCTAGTCACCCACACTCTCTCCTCTCCTTACTCCTCTCCGTACCTCTCCTCTCCTTCCCATCTTGTACTCCGTGGCACCAGGACCAAGGGAGCGAGCGAGGGGTGGGACGGCCTGTGGGGCGACCAGCATGCGTTCAACCTGCTGCTGCGCTACCAGATGTTCCCCATCCGCGTCGTCACCTCTCCCTTCCCACAACCCACCACCACCACCGCCACCACCACCACTGCCACCGGTGCAGTGAGCACGCTGCAGGGACTCCTCCCCTTCTCCACCTCGCCCTTCCCCCCGGCAAACACTGCCGCGCACACTGAGGCGCAGAGTGCAGCGCAGCAGAGCAGAGCAGAGAGCAGAGCAGAGAGCAGAGCAGAGAGCAGAGCAGAGAGCAGAGCAGACAGCAGTGCGGTTGCTACGACGAGGAGCAACCGTGTGATCTGGGCGTACAACGGTCAGCTGCGCGTGGCCATCCTGCCCCTCGCCCTCGTGCCCAACGGCCACGTGTTCTTCGTGCAGCAACTGCACGGCGCCCCGCACCTGCACACACGAGCCCATGGGCAGACACGGCCGCAACTGCAACCACAACTGCAGCTGCAACTTCAGCCGGTGTCACAGCAGCAGCAACAGCAGCGTGTGGGTGTGCGCGTGGCGCTGCCGCCCCCCCTGGCGGTGCACAACACGTTTCAGTTCCACCATGCGCTGGGCAAGGCTGCTCGCTTCCGAGAAGCCGGGCTGTGGGCCGTGGACCCCCCTGAGTGAGTGGCGAGAAGGGGAACGGAGGGTTGTGGGTGGGAGTGCGCTGCACTTGTGTGCTGTGCATGCTGCGTGTGAGGGGCAGGGACGTGAGCCGCGGACCCCCGGAGTGAGTGGCGAGGGCAGGAAGTGGGGAAAGGAAAGATGGGGATTGGGCAGTGGGTTGAAGCGGGAACGGATGCATCGGGGTGTGCATGCTATCTGAATTGGTGACCCGAGGTGCTTGTGTTTTTGACTAACGCTTGCCTGGGATTCTGTGCGTGTGCTGACATGTGCATTTGCATGTGCATGTGACATTCCTGTGCCGTGCATGTGCCGTGCATGTGCCGTGCATGTGGCTTACATGTGCCATGCATGCAGGTACTACGAGGAGGGCAACTACCTGAGCATGGAGTACAGCACACCGCCATGGATCATTGCCATGGAGCCCGGCATGCTCAGACACCAGGCCGCCATGGAACACTTCTATGTACGCCCCATGCCGTGCCATGCCATGCCACGCCATACTCGTTCTTTTTTTCGTCTCCACAGTGCTACTCACGATTCCTGCAGTTTCACTTCTTGAACCACCTCATTTTCCTATCCCCCCCCAAATTTCTCATCGTTCTACCCTTCCCACCCCCTTCCTGCAGCACGCGGCACAGAAGGCCTTCGCCCTGGCATGGCTCCTCTCGCGCAAGCTCATTCTCCCGCGCGTCACGTGCTTCTGCGACCGCTGGTGGGACTCGCTCTCGCACCCGTGCCGCGCGCCTGGCAGCGACCGCGACCCGCCCTTCCTGTGCCCCGTGGACTACCTCATCTCGCCGCTCTACTGGGGCAGCAACGCCACCGACATGGTCTACCGCCCCGCTTCGTTCTTGGAGGATCCAAGGACTAGTGATGAAATCAAGGCGTCGAGGTGGGTTGAGAATAGGGGGCGGTGGTGGGGAATGGTGCGGGGTGGGGGGGGGGGATGATGTGGGGTGGTGGGGGATATTGGAGTGGCAGACTGGGATAGGAGGGGACGGGGGTATGGGCAACTGAGGGTGTTGATTGGTTGTGTAAAGGATGGAGATGGGGAGAACGGTGGTGGCAGTGTGCATGCTGCTGCTGCTCCTGCTCGTCCTGTCCTGTCCTTTCCTGACCCACCGTGCGCATTGTGCTCCTTGTGCTTCTTTGCTGTGCAGACGGTACGTGTCCATAGACTATCCCGATGCCTCATCCCTGCAATACCACCAACAACAATCCCATCGCCAGCTGCAGCAGCAACAGCAACAGCAGCACCACCAAGAGCAGCAGCAGCAGCAGCCACCGGACCCACTATCAGTATACGGGGAGCTGCGGCTACCGATGAACGCAACAGACAAGGAGGTGCTGGCAGTGCTGGGTCAGCCGCACGTGCATGAAGTGCGCGTGCTGCACCTGCTACAACCCCACGACACCTTCTGCAGGTCAGTGCGGTGTGGGTGCAGTGGGGGCAATGCAACGAAAGGGCTAGCTGTGGGGGCGATATGGGCTGGCGATGGGTTGTGGCAAGGCAATGCGAGCTTGTGAAGGGGCTTGCTTGCAAATGGACGCAGCACTCGCTGGCCACGTGCTCGCAATGTGTGTTGTGAGCTGAGTCAACTCAAGCACACCTGCGAAGCGGCTGCATATGCACAACAACACTAGCTATGTTCCTCCCGTTCACCCCGCTTCCTCTCACACCAGTCCATTCTCCCATATTACACCCAATTTTCCTGCCCCATCTCACCTCTCTCACCCAACTCTCCCTCTCCTCTCTCCCCTCACACACCTCTCTCTCCCTCTCCCAACGCTCTGTGCCCTGCAGGTTCGTTGGCCGAAGTGACGCAGAGGCTTTTGATGCGTACACATGGCAGTTCTTCTCTCAGGATTGGTGCTGCACTCCCAACCACGAGACACGCACCTTCTCCATTCCCCCCATAGTCAATGTCTCTTTCTCTTCTTGCAACCGGCCCTCTCTGGACCAAACACCTGTTGCTGTGTAGATTTGATGTGTAAATAAAGAAGTGCGCATTGCTCTTCATGGCAGTTCTATTCGCTTTTCTTGCGTGCCGTGTGCACGTTTCTGTCAAATGTTGTAGCCTATAGTGAGGTTTGTCTTAGGGGGTACAAAACTTAGGGTTAGCTATATGTACCCCAACCAACATCAATGCACCATCCATTCTTCATTCTGACATGGTATCAGTTAGGTTAGGATCCTGTGGGATCCCGTTCCTCCGTTCTCCGTTCGAGCCTCCCGAGCCTGATCCTAGCTCTCATTCGTTCCGGTTCCGTTGTTACCGCGCGTAGTGCCGCGCCTAGCGCCACTCCTAGCGTCGCGTCCTGCCCGCCCTTTCCCCCTCGTCGCGTCCCTTTCCCCCCGTCGCGTCGCGCCCTTTCCCCCCAGTCGAGTCGCGCCCTTTTCCCCCCGTCGCGTCGCGCTCTTTCCCCCCGTCGCGTCGCGCCCTTTCCCCCCGTCGCGTCGCGCCCTTTCCCCCCGTCCCGTCGCCCTGCCCCGTCCCGTCGCCCTGCCCCGTCCCGTCGCCCTCCCCCGTCCCGTCGCCCTGCCCCGTCCCGTCGCCCTTCCCCGTCCCGTCGCCCTGCCCCGTCGCGTCGCCCTGCCCCGTCCCGTCGCCCTGCCCCGTCCCGTCGCCCTTCCCCGTCCCGTCGCCCTGCCCCGTCGCGTCGCCCTGCCCCGTCGCGTCGCCCTTCCCCGTCCCGTCGCCTCTGCTCCGTCGCGTCGCCCTGCCCCGTCGCGTCGCCCTGCCCCGTCGCATCGCGCCCGCCCTTTCCCCCGTCCTGTCGACCCTACGCCCTAGCCCGTTCTTCCGCTGCGACTAAGTCCCCCCACCTGAACCCTAATTTGCCTCTTACCTCCTGCTGTTACTCGCCTGCTCGTTCGCGTTCGTTCTCGCTATGGCGACTCCGCGAGTTCTTCGTTTCGACGCTGACGGTAGACCTCTTGACTTTTCCGTCTGGCTTCTTCGCGCTCGCCGTCTGTTAGAGAGTCAAGTCCAGAGGCGCGCCGTCGACTTGCGCTGTTGTCACGCCGTCGACCTGCAGCGTTGGCAAGCCGCGACTCTGCACTGCTGGAGCGCAGTCGACCAAAACGTGCTGGCACGCGGTCGACCGTGCTACGCTGGCAGTCGACCTGCTTGCATCCTAGCTCTGATGTAGTCTTGCCTAGCCAACTTCATTGTATCATTGTTGTCAACTTTCTCTAGTGAAACTCTTGCCAAATTGCCTTGTGAACTAGCAAGCAGTGTGTGCACTAGGAAAACGACTAAGGACCAACGAACGCAGAGATCACACGAGCACCCGTGCCTAGCCCGTAGTCTAGCTCCCGTTGTAGTAGTTATCTCCGAAATTCTAGTGGCCCAGGTTAAAAAACACATACTAGAGCCTTTTCGACTTGGTTCTTGTGCGAAGAAAAGTTCGGCGCCTACGATTTCGGCCGTTTTTGCCGCCAAGTGCCTAGAAAGCGCTTGAATCACTATAGGTGTAGGGAAAAGCATTCAACAACCTGATTTTTATTGCATATTCTAGTGGCCCATATTCAAATACACATACTAGAGCCTTTTTGGCTTGGTTCTTGTGCGAAGAAAAGTTCGGCGCCTACGATTTCGGCCGTTTTTGCCGCCAAGTGCCTAAAAAGCGCGTGAATCCCTATAGGTGTAGGGAAAAGCATTAAAAAACCTGATGTTTACTGCATATTCGAGTGGCCCAGGTTCAAATACACATACTAGAGCCTTTTCGGCTTGGTTCTTGTGCGAAGAAAAGTTCGGCGCCTACGATTTCGGCCGTTTTTTACGCCGAGTGCCTAGAAAGCGCTTGAATCTCTATAGGTGTAGGGAAAAGCATTCAACAACCTGATTTCTTTTGCATATTCTAGTGGCTCATCTTAAAATACACATACTAGAGCCTTTTCGGCTTGGTTCTTGTGCGAAGAAAAGTTCGGCGCCTACGATTTCGGCCTTTTTTGCTGCCTAGTGCCTAGAAAGCGCTTGAATCCCTATAGGTGTAGGGAAAAGCATTCAAAAACCTGATTTTTATTGCATATTCTAGTGGCCCAGGTTCAAATACACATACTAGAGCCTTTTCGGCTTGGTTCTTGTGCGAAGAAAAGTTCGACGCCTACGATTTCGGCCGTTTTTGCCGCCAAGTGCCTAGAAAGCGCTTCCTTAAATCCCTATAGGTGTAGGGAAAAGCATTCAAAAACCTGATTTTTATTGCATATTCTAGTGGCCCAGGTTCAAATACACATACTAGAGCCTTTTTGGCTTGGTTCTTGTGCGAAGAAAAGTTCGGCGCCTACGATTTCGACCGTTTTTGCCGCCAAGTGCCTAGAAAGCGCTTGAATCCCTATAGGTGTAGGGAAAAGCATTCAACAACCTGATTTTTATTGCATATTCTAGTGTCCCAGGTTCAAATACACATACTAGAGCCTTTTCGGCTTGGTTCTTGTGCGAAGAAAAGTTTGGCGCCTACGATTTCGGCCGTTTTTGCCGCCAAGTGCCTAGAAAGCGCTTGAATCCCTATAGGTGTAGGGAAAAGCATTCAACAACCTGATTTTTATTGCATATTCTAGTGGCCTAGGTTCAAATACACATACCAGAGCCTTTTCGGCTTGGTTCTTGTGCGAAGAAAAGTTCGGCGCCTACGATTTTGGCCGTTTTTGCCGCCAAGTGCCTAGAAAGCGCGTAAATCCCTATAGGTGTAGGGAAAAGCATTCAACAACCTGATTTTTATTGCATATTCTAGTGGCCCAGGTTCAAATACACATACTAGAGCCTTTTCGGCTTGGTTCTTGTGCGAAGAAAAGTTCGGCGCCTACGATTTCGGTCGTTTTTGCCGCCAAGTGCCTAGAAAGGGCGTGAATCCCTAAAGGTTTAGGGAAAAGCATAAAAAATCATGATTTTTACTGCATATTCGAGTGGCCCATGTTCAAATACACATAATAGAGCCTTTTCGGCTTGGTTCTTGCGCGAAGAAAAGTTCGGCGCTTACAATTTCGGCCGTTTTTGCCGCCAAGTGCCTAGAAAGCGCGTGAATCCCTATAGGCGTAGAGAAAAGCATTCAAAAACCTGAATTTTATTGCATATTCAAGTGGCCCATATTCAAATACACATACTAGAGCCTTTTCGGCTTGGTTCTTGCGCGAAGAAAAGTTCGGCGCCTACGATTTTGGCCGTTTTTGCCGCCAAGTGTAAAAAGCGCCTGAATCCCTGTAGGCGTAGGGGAAATCATTCAAAGACCTGTATTTTATTGCATATTCGAGTGGCTTATGTTCAATTGCACATAATAGAGCCTTTTCGGCTTGGTTCTTGCGCGAAGAAAAGTTCGGCGCCTACGATTTCGGCCGTTTTTGCCGCCAAGTGCTTAGAAAGCGCGTGAATCCCTATAGGCGTAGGGGAAAGCATTCAACAACCTGAACTTTATTGCATATTCGAGTGGCCCATGTTCAAATACACATACTAGAGCCTTTTCGGCTTGGTTCTTGCGCGAAGAAAAGTTCGGCGCCTACGATTTCGGCCGTTTTTGCCGCCAAGTGCCTACGCGTGAATCCCTATAGAAGTAGGGAAAAGCATTCAACAACCTGAATTTTATTGCATATTCGAGTGGCCCATGTTCAAATACACATACTAGAGCCTTTTCGGCTTGGTTCTTGTGCGAAGAAAAGTTTGGCGCCTACGATTTCGGCCGTTTTTGCCGCCAAGTGCCTAGAAAGCGCTTGAATCCCTATAGGCGTAGGGAAAAGCATTCAACAACCTGAACTTTATTGCATATTCGAGTGTCCCATGTTCAAATACACATACTAGAGCCTTTTCGGCTTGGTTCTTGCGCGAAAAAAAGTTCGGCGCCTACAATTTCGGCCGTTTTTGCCGCCAAGTGCCTAGAAAGCGCGTGAATCCCTTAAGGCGTAGGGAAAAGCATTCAACAACCTGAATTTTATTGCATATTCGAATGGCCCATGTTCAAATACACATACTAGAGCCTTTTTGGCTTGGTTCTTGCGCGAAGAAAAGTTCGACGCCTACGATTTCGGCCGTTTTTGCTGCCAAGTGCCTAGAAAGCGCTTGAATCACTATAGGTGTAGGGAAAAGCATTCAACAACCTGATTTTTATTGCATATTCTAGTGGTTACATACTAGAGCCTTTTCGGCTTGGTTCTTGTGCGAAGAAAAGTTCGGCGCCTACGATTTCGGCCGTTTTTGCCGCCAAGTGCCTAGAAAGCGCTTGAATCCCTATAGGTGTAGGGAAAAGCATTCAACAACCTGATTTTTATTGCATATTCTAGTGGCCCATGTTCAAATATACATACTAGAGCCTTTTTGGCTTGGTTCTTGTGCAAAGAAAAGTTCGGCGCCTACGATTTCGGTCGTTTTTGCCGCCAAGTGCCTAGAAAGCGCGTGAATCCCTATAGGTGTAGGGAAAAGCATTCAACAACCTGATTTTTATTGCATATTCGAGTGGCCCATATTCAAATACACATACTAGAGCCTTTTCGGCTTGGTTCTTGCGCGAAGAAAAGTTCGGCACTTACGATTTCGGCCGTTTTAGCCGCCAAGCGCGTAGATAGCGCGTGAATCCCTATAGGCGTAGAGAAAAGCATTCAACAACCTGAATTTTATTGCATATTCAAGTGGCCCATGTTCAAATACACATACTAGAGCCTTTTCGGCTTGGTTCTTGCGCGAAGAAAAGTTCGACCCTTACGATTTCGGCCATTTTAGCCGCCAAGTGCCAAGAAAACGCGCGAATTCTTATTGGCATATGTCAAACATTATATATGTTGTGTTTGTTTAGGCTACAGTGGGTTAGCCTATAGGGGGTACACAATTCTAGGGTTAGGTACTTGTACTCATTCCTGTCTGTTGATTCCGACATGGTTTCAGAGCAGGTCCTTCGCTAGGACCGTTCTTAGGGCCCACCGCTACCTACCTACCTACCTACCTACCTACCTACCGTGCGCCCTCGTGCGCCTACGCGCCCCAGTGCGCCTCCT